GCAGCTCCAAATGCAAATTCTAAAAAAAGGAAAATAACATATGTATCTCTACACCAAACAAATCGTTTCAAGCGAAGCGATAAAAATTCACGATGAATGGAAAAATCCTGTTGAAACGAGTCTCTCTGTTAGTTTCTACGCAGCGTAGAATAATCATACGATATCCGGGATATGTCGGTCGAAGTCAAATCGAGGCGAAGCGTCGAATGCTTTTCTTTTTTCTTTTTTTTTTTTTTTTTTTTCGCGAATGAAAGAAAAGACCGCGAGAGGGAGAAAGAATCGAAAAAACACGAATGAAGATACGATCGTACCTACGCAAAAGCGGAGTCTTCTACAAACGGACTCGCTTAGAGAGAAACGGAGAGAAAATGGAATAGACAGAGAGGAAAAGAGAGAGAGAGAGAGAGAGAGTTCTCTATGGAGAGGAAATCACGATGAGCACAGCAATGGCGGCTCACTATCGTGGAACACGGGAAATTTGTGCAGCGACGATGATCAAAGAGAAGGTCTTTCGACGAAGAGTATCGCGGTGAATAGGTCGACGAAGAGAATGTTCAAATGTTTGTAGGAACACCGGTCGTGTGGAGCATTCTTTTGGTATTTGACGGCGGTTTTGATTGATTCCTCCTTCCCTTCTTCTTTTCCTCCTCCTCCTTATTCTTCTTCTTCTTTTTCTCTCGAATATTCCTTTCTATCGAACCGCGAAAGAAGATGTCGCGACGATCGATCGCGTTTCGGTCAACAGCGGGAAGAATGCTCTCTCCTCTCTTTTATCAGGACTACTCGACCTGTGGCCAGGGTCAAGGTCACTGTGGTCAGGACGCCAAGGTGGTCCTGTGCCAGGAGGCGTGTTGGTGCTGGTGCTGGTGTTGATGCTGTTGTTGATGTTGATGCTGATGCTGATGTTGTTGTTGTTGTTGTTGATGATGATTTTGTTTGTGTTGTTGTTGTTGTTGTTGTTGTTGTTGCTGCTGTTGCTGCTGCTGCTGCTGCTGGCTGTGTTGATTCTGTTGTTGCTGGTGCTGTTGGTGGTGTTGTTGCTGCCTCTTCTGGCTGTAAATCAAGAAACAAGATCGTACGATTACTTATTTTTTTTACAATGAATTCTTGCGTGGATATTCGAGAGGCGCGTAGGCGATGACCGTGATTTTTACTTTACCAAGAGTGTTTACCAAGAGTTACCAGTGTACCAGGCCAAGTGAAAATACCGTTTTAATTGATCTAATATTGCGAAAATTGTAGTCGTAGGCAATTACAGTATTGCGATTAATTGCGATTTTTTTGCAAGTACCGATAAAAAATATTAGAGAAAAAAAAAAAAAAAAATTTTTGCCGATGAATATGGAGTAATTGGCCTGTCTGATTTTAAATGAAGTTAAAAAGGAATAAGCGATATCTCGATGCATAAATCATTGAATGAACCGAAGGTCGACAATATATTAAAAAAAAAAAAAAAAGAAAAAAAAAAAA